TTGTTTTCTTAGTATTCACTTGTACATCATAAACACCTAAGAACTTTAGAAAACACCAGAGAGGGCTAGAGTTATAGCTCAGTAAGGTGATTGTCTTAAAAGTAGGAGAAACTTGAATTTAATCTCCAGAACTCATACAAAAAAGAAAGATTTAATGGTTGGGGGCTGGTGAAAATAGATGGATTCTTGGGACTTACCAGCCAGTGGCAAGCCTTAGTCTATCAGCAAGTTTGAGACCAGTGAGAGGGTCTGTCTTAAAAACCTGGTGTAGGAGGTTCTTCTGTCTATGTGTTTCCTTCATTGGTTGAATAAAGAAACTGCCTTGGCCTTTTGATAGGGCAGCACTTAGGTAGGCAGAGTAGACAGAACTGAATGCTGGGAAGAAGGGCAGAGAGAGAGCCACCATGGAGCTGCCACGTCAGACATGCTGAATCTTTCCCAGTAAGCCACGACCCCGTGGTGACATACAGATTATTAAAAATGGGTTAAATCAAGATGCAAGAGTTAGCCAATAAGAGGCTAGAACTAATGGGCCAGGCAGTGTTTAATTAATACAATTTCTGTGTGATTATTTTGGGTACAAACTAGCCGGGTGGCCAGGATAAACAAAGGGTCTGCTCTCCCTGCAACAAAAACCAAAGCAGGCAGTACCCCAAGAAAAAAATATCTGATGATGACTCGTGGCTTCTACATACATGCATACACATGGCACATAAATAAACATACATTTACACACACATCAAAAAAGGGAAGAGAATTCTAATAGAAGACCGATAAAATAGGACATGAGGTTAAATGCCTATTATTCTAGCATTTGAGAGGCAGAGGCAGGATCTCTGTGAGTTCTAGCCTGGTCCATATAGCACGCTTCATGTCCACATTGGTTCACATGATTTCAAAAAGCAGCTCTATTGAATTACTCAATACTTTCAATAAACTGCATTCTCTCATTCACATTTTGAAGTTTTCTTTTATTTTAATGGTTTTCTCCATGCACACAACTTTCAAAATTATTCAATTCAAATACCACCTCCTTCAAAAACTTTACTAAAGAATGATAGTAAAATGATTGCTCCCCCCATAATCTTTACATATATGTGTACTTTACGTATACTTTGTATATGGAGATATGCACAACCATAACAATAATATGTATAAATACATATCATAATTTCCTTCAACTGTGATACACATTTATAGATGGAGGGTGCTTGATCATTTCTTGGCCATGCAGACCCAAAATAATCACAAGAAATAATATTAATTACAACACTGCTTGGCCAGTCACTTAAGCATATTGCTAGCTAGCTCTTCTATCTTAAACTAACCCATTTACATTATTTTATATTTACCACTAGGCCTGTGGTTTGCCAGTAAGGTTCCTGGGCATCTGTCTCCTTCAGCGGCTACATGGCATCTCTCTCTCTCCACCTTCTATTCTCCTCTATTTGCTTGGAATTCCTGCATTTCTCTATTCAGCTAAGCCACTGGCCAAAACAGTTTCTTTATTAACCAATGTCAATAAAACATATTCACAGCATACAGACAGGAATCCCACACCACCTCCCATTTTCTGTCTAGTTAAAAAGGAAGGTTTTAAATTAGCATAGCAAGATTACATAAAACAAAACAGTTCTCAAGCAAGAATTATAGTTATAATACTTAGTCTATTTACATTTGGCAAATTAAGGAAAATACTCTATCATTTATCCTATCTCTGTTAGTCTAAAGTTTTATATCTAATCTATCTTTTACTATAACTCCTTAGTTATGGTATAACTATAAATATCTGTTTTTCATCTCCATCAATGACCACAGAAGGATATAAACAGAGGCTGCATATGTGTTTCCTGGCCACCCAGATCCAAAAGCATCACACAGAAAAAATATTAATTACAATACTGTTTGGCCAATAGCTTAAGCATATTTCTAGATAGCTCTTACATCTTAAATTAACCTATTTCTACTATTTTGTATTTTACCATGAGGCTTGTGGTTATTGGTAAGGTTTTAGCAGGTGTCTGTCTCCTTCATCAGCTACATGGCCTCTCTCTGACTCCACCTATTTTTCTCTTTTATCTCTGCTTGGATTCCTGCCTTGCCCCACTCTGTCTGCACTGCCAAAGGCCCAAGTATCTTCGTTATTAACCAAAGATAATAAAACATATTCACAGCATACAGAGAGGGGAATCCCAGATCACATATTCAATTCTCATATTAGTATCTTAAATGAGAAATAAGGATCATATTTTATTCCCTATTGAGAATTTTATTGTAATATGAAATGTAGTATACATAAAAGCATTCATTCATACACACACACACACACACACACACAAAACAATATTTAGTCATTGAAAGAAGGAGTAAAATGCCTGTGAAACAAAGAGGACAAACAGGAGGCATGGATGGGAGAGGGAAGGCTTATGAATGTGGTGTGTATTTGGTATGTGGTGGATATACTCAAAGTGCACTATATGCCTGCATGCAAAGGATCTTATGTAGCCTGTGCAACAAAATAAAGCTGAAAACAAATTCTAAAATAGTAAGTACTGCTAAATATCACAATTCATAATCAGAAAAATGTTCTAATTTGTCACCTTCCAGGAAGATTGGTAATTTAATGAGACAAATGTATTTGAAAGTATATCACTACAGAGAGGAAACATTGCTGTAAATAAATAACTGCAATGTCTCTCAGTTTCATCATAAACAAAAATTAAGTTTTAAGTTGATGCTATTCAGGCTGTATTTTCTTTTGTATATTTTCTGCTGTAAAGTCAGAAGTAAGAACAGAATATAAAAAAAAAGATTTTCTAGCACACAGTGTTCTAAGTAATCATAATGGTCACTAACAATCAGACCCAGATATTCTGTTAACAAATATCACTCAGTTCATCTAGAAGATCGGACATAGGAACAAGACAGTCACGTCCAATTCCACATGGATTCTGAGCTCAGATCCTGGATTTTGCAGTTTACCTTGCGAACATGATCCGAGTGACATTTCACAAATTCCTGGATAAATGTTGCTACACTCTGCCAGGAGAGAGACAGGCTATGTCATGCACAGATCAATATCAGCACTGTGTTTCATCAGCCTCAAAATAAAAAATGCTTCATCTGACAAAAGCCATGGCCCTAGAGAATCTGACATATATAAACTGAATAGCTTACAACAACTGTGTACCACACAATCTACTGATGTAAAGCAAAAGAAACTTTGGGGGTGAGCAATGACAATCATAGAGTTGTTTTCCACATTTTTATTACTAGAGGCTTAAACATAGATTATCCAAAGACAATGAGGCTTTTTAAAATCCTATAATTCCTGACAGAAAAAAAAATGGCCAGTAGTTTACCAATTCCAACCTTTCAGACAAAAGGTATATAAACAATTATCAAAAAATATACATTTATGAAATACTGACAAAGATATCAAAACAATAGGTGAAAATTTAATGCAGGTTCATAGAATCTGACACTTTTATAATTCAAGGGTTTGCTAGCCTATTTTGAGATGTGGTGTCTATATGCTGGAATAACCTAAAATCCCAAGGCATTTGCAGACTGGGCCATGTTCCAGGATCTCTCACTTCACTATAGTCTTTTATTTGAGTTTTGATTAAGCAAATTTAATATTAATTAGTTAATATAATTGAATAAGGAATGTCACAAATTTAAAAACTCAAATCTTAAAAATTGAACTGCATTATTTAAGACTGTCCCAAAAGTCTGAGAATTAAATATGCTGTTACAGAATTTATCTGCCTCGGAGTACGGGAACCAAGGATTCTTCAAGAAATTGGTGAAGATAAAAAAGTTCATTAAAAAAGGCAGCCATGTACATTTGCAATACTTGTGCTCACAGGCTGCATATGAATCCTGTGGCCATTCAGATAGCTACAATTGAGTTCTTAGCAGCAATAGCCTGGGGTGAAAATTCTGTTTTTCAGATCCTGGCTTAGAAGCATTTCTTCTTAAATTTTAAGAAATATTATTGTTATAGTATTTTTGGATTTGCTGTGACAAAATATCATGACCATGTAACTTATAAAAGAAGATGTTTAATTTGGGGCTCATTGTTCCAGAGGTTAAGAGTCCATTACATCATGGCGTGGAACATGGCAGCAGACAGGCCAGGCACTGGAGCAGTAGAGAGCTTACATCTTTTATTTTTAGCTTTTGCTAATTGCTGCATTTTTTATTAAAATAAGGATTGGATTTAGAAGTAGGTTGTTTGGGCCTTTTATAGTATTTTTTATTATTTAAAACAATTTTAAAATAAATATGTTTTAATCATATTCTTCCTATCACCTGTCTTTCCATATCATCTCCCCCTCCCTACTCATATAACTTGAAGTTTTTTCTTAAAAAAGAAAAAAACAAAACCCAATATAACAAAATGCCCAGACCTAAGAAAACAAAATATAACCACCCACTAAGAAAGAAAACAACAGTCACCAAATAAAGGCACACACACATGCGCACGTGCACACACACACACACACACACACACACACACACACACACACACAGAGAAAGAGAGAGAGAGAGAGAGAGAGAGAGAGAGAGAGAGAGAGAGAGAGAGAATCCTGTGGAGATAGAATGAGAGACCTTGGAACACTCAACTCTGAATGGGATGTCTCTCTCCATTAAATCCCTCCGCTCAGAGCTCAGGAAACCCCCTGAAGAGGAGGCAGAAAGAGTGGAAGGGTCAGAGGCGATGAAGGACACCAGAGGATACTGCTCTCTAAATCAACATGAGCAGAGCTCACGTGAATCTTTTACTGCCATCAAATTGATCATAATTTGCAGTTCTGTGATTCCATGAGGGATCATGTGACAATTTAAGGTGATAGGATCTACATTAACACCTCAGATTTTTTTTTTAAACTTGCACGTATGTCTAACAGATATGGGAACTAAAACCAGATGTAAAATAAAATATCAATATAATCTGCATATTTATTATAACTCAGTCTCAACATTCTCTTTACCTTTATTGTCTGTCTGCTGGTCTGAAATCGCTGCTCAGATACCTGCTGTTGGTGGAGGAGTTTCTCGTTGGCTTCTTTATATTCCTTAGCAGATGACTCTGCTGCTTTCCTGGCATTATGAAGCAAACTGTTCTGTTGCTGCAAGGAGATAATCCGTTCTCGTAATAAAATAGTGTTGCTACTGGATTTTTGGGCAGGGATATTTTTGCACTTTTCTCTGTTAACTAAATAAAGATAATATTGTTCATAATTTGCAAAATCAGATTACATTGATAAAGACACTGTTACCTTTTTATTACACTCTTACCTCTGGCAGGGACCACCGCATGCAAACTCTTCTGTGTGTTTCCACTCTTCTTTTGAAAAGCCATTTTCTTGGTATTCTTATAATGAGAAATAGCCTAAATTTGAAGGTTTCAGAAAAAAATTGGTTACTACACAATGACAATGTCAAACAAATTTACATGTCATTTAATATATTTAAGTAAATAAAATGTATGGGCAATAAAATTCTATAATTGATTCCTAAATTATATTCTCAGAAATCCACCTGAATTAACATTTTAATATATACAATAAATTTAAAGTTGAACTATCGGGTAGAAGATATTGACATGAAAGCAACTGAAAAGAAGTAGAATTTCACCTGAGGACAGTTCTTAAAAGGAGAAGTGGCAGCAATGAGGACTCTAAGAGAGACCTACATAGATCTAATCTACACAGGGAGTAGAACAAGACAAGATTTCCTGAGTAAACTGGGATCATGGGGATCTTGGGAGAGGGCTGAAGGGAAGGGGAGAGTCAGGGAAGAGAGCAGAGAAAAATGTAGAGCTCAATAAAAATGAGTAAAAAAAAGGAGGTTGAATAAAGCAACGACAATAAAACATGGCTACTTAATGAAGCAGTCTCTGGTAGTCTGGGAGCTTTGTTTGGATGCTTCTTCCTGGTCTGTTTGAATGTAGACATGAAAGCTAATAGCAAATGAACCTCAAAGTGTAATAACAACATATTTTTCTTAATTTCATGCTGGGAGAGGTGGCTCATATTTGGAAGACCAAGGCAAGATGATCACCTTAAGATGCACACCAACATGGCTCCCATTGGGAGCTCTAAGCCAGCCTGCCTCTGGGGAGCTGAATGGGGTGTCATGTGTGGCATCAGTTCTGGGGAATCAAAGACTTCTTATCCCCTTGCTTCTGGTAAACACTGTTAATTTTCCTGGGATTAGTATCTAAAAGTGTCACAACTGGACTGTAGTATAAGTGGTAGGTACAGTTTTTCAGAAATTATCAAGGAATTTTCTGGAATGCTACATTGTTGCATTCCAAAATCACACGAGCAAAGCCTGAGCCCCACTGTCTGCATTGACGTCAACTCTTGGGGTTGTGATTATTTTTATTGTGCTGTCTTTTGTGATCCTAACCTGAACTCCTGAAAGGGTAGTGATGCTGAACAACTTGTGTAGCTATTCGCCACCCAGGTATCCTTTAAGGCCAACTGTATGTTCATGCCTTGCCCACTCCCAGCTGAATTGTTGTTGTCTTTTAGGGCTGGAGTTTGAGAGGTCTTTATTTAACTCAACTTTTATCAGATACTGGGCATCAGCCACGTGGTCTCACTTTCTAAGTAGGATCTTTTGCTTTGCGAAAGTTGTTAATTTTAATGTAATCTAATTTATGGATCTTGGATTAGTATCAGGTCTAAAAATTCTTTATTCATCAAACTCTAGGTTCTGAAGATTTTTCTCTTAGATTTCCTTCTATGAGTTTTATAACTTAAATGTTACACTTTTATGTGTTATGCATAACTTATGCATAAGATTTAAGATTTAGGTATATACTCCTGTTTTTGCTTAAGAAAAACCACCTGATCCTGCTATTTGTCAAAATGACTATCCTTCTTTAATTGAAATATTCTTTCATCTTCATCAAGGATCAGATGCCAAAAAGTAAGCAGATTTACTTCTAGACTCAGCACTTCATTGCATGGATAAAATACCCTCTGAGGGTATAGTATCATCCCATGTTATAATGGAACCAATGAGGATTTATGCTCCCTCTGTGGGGCAAATAAAAACAAGTTATGTTTCAGTTTTTAAAATCTTATTTGGCTTTTTCAATATCTTTACTTCTTTGACAGAACTCTTTTTTTATTAATAGACTCTGTTTTTTTTTTCATGCTGTAACCTGTCCATGATTACTCATGGAAGTGAACTGCTTTAATATATTTTGTCTTTTGTTGATTGATATTTCTTATATAAGCTGCAGTATCATTGGTTCTATATATGATGAATGATTTCCATTTGTACCCTGAATAGTTGAGACACTGTGTGTGAAGACTTTTGATATTATTTGCATTTTGCTTGAACAGACTTCTCCAATTACACTGTTGAAACAAGAGGCAAAACATCAATTATACAAGTTGAACATGGAAGCCCAGTCTCTAGAGACACCATAGTTGAAGAGGGGCACATCATTACTGCTGCATAGGGTGGAAGTTCAGGCTCTCCAATGGGCCTCTGCTCTTACTACTGAAACTGAAGACAGAGAGAGCCTTGTTAAAGCTCCCACTTGGCCTACTGTGACAAGACAAGGAGGCTTGGGGCTTGTTAGGTATGAGGTAATGAAAGTCTTCTTCTCTGGGCTTGGCTCACGAGATCACAGATGTTCAGGAGTCTTTGTAGTCTCCAGTGAAATGAAGAAGCAGTCAAGGCTCCTCTGTGATCCTCTAACACTGTGCCCAGATAGGAGGAGGAGATGTAAGAGCTGCCTCCTTATAAATGGCAAGAGCGTTTAGGTACCCAACAGGCCTTTAATATGGGAAGTAGAGGCAGAAGTGGAATTGTATTTTTCATGGTGTTTGGCTGATAAAAGGTAACAATTACATAAAGTTTTCTGTCTTACAAGGCTAACCCTTTCTTCATCCTCTGGACGGAAGGAGCATGATGTAATTAGGGACTTTTATCATCTTTATTTATTATGGTTTATACGTTGCAGGTGTCTCAGTGACTAAAATACGTGGTCAGAGTTTCTTTGCTGGGCTGACTTTACACACCCATCCCAGGTCATCGGACCTGTTTGGAATTAGAATTATAGCAAGTTTGTATTAATATATATATATATATATATATATTCCTATCCACATAATGGCAAAATTGATAAATTGAGTCATATTAGAATAAATATATTATTATTTTAAAGGCACCATCTACTAGGACAAAGGCATAGAGAAATATTTTATATATATATATATATATATATATATATGTGGAGAGGGAGTCTATTTTACAAACACACACACATACATGTATATACATACATGTATACACACATATATATCATATATTCATATATACATATATATAGTAAGATCCCATACCTGGTGTATTCTATGTATAAAAAAATAGATAATTAGCTTTTAAAATAGACAGACATGAAAAAGCAGTTTACAAAGAATTAGAAATGGTCAATAACCACAAAGAAAAGGCTCAATACCTTGGTAATCACAGAAAACCCTCAGTGATGAACCTCAAAATAAACAGAGGTGGCTGAAATGAGAAAGTCTAACATACTAAGTGATGAGATTTCCACCACCATTTGGGGTGTACAGAAAAGTGGTCCCATACATAATAAAGTAAAAAGTGTCAACTATAATCTCAGAATCTTACCAGCCATGGAGCAATAATTCATGTTTCAGTTTTTACTACAGAAATGGCCACATTTATTCAATGAATGAAATATACAAGAATATTCATTGCAACATTATTTGCAGGAAATTTGAAGGGAAGCCTCTCAAATTCCAACAGTGTAATAGACAATGTGTGGCATGTTTAGACAATGAAATATTATTTACAGGACTGCAAATGAATGAGCAAGAGAAGCCAGGCTTTCCATGACCTCATTTCATAATGCTCCAGAAAGGAAACTTAATCAAAACTCGAAAAAACAAAGTGACAAAATTAAAGATAATGGTTAGTTCCAGGGGTTGGTGACAGAGTCCAATATTTTCCAAATACACAGGCTACAATTTTGTTATTTATTTTCTGTTAAAATCAAGTGTAGATTTAGTCAAAAGGGTTTACATTTGCTTGCAGTCAATAAGAACTTGAGTTTCTTGTTTCCAAACTCATTAGGCTACACATGTATAGTTACAACTGAACAAAACAGTCCATCAAGTAATACAGAAAAAAAAACAGCACCAACAAAAAATATTTTAAGTGTCTCTTATTGTAAACTAGACTGCTTTTGAGTCTCCTGCCTCAGCCCCAAATAGTAATTTCTATAGGAAACTACCTATTTATCATTAGTCAAGTAGCAGGAGCATAGTAAGAATAACTTTATTTAAGCAAACAAAAGCATAAATTTCTTTGCTATATTTAATTTTCTTAAAAAGAATTATAAGCTTACTATTAGGTTTTCATTCTTTCCTTTGTCTGAGACAAGAATATCTTAAAATTTATAAGCATAGTGTTTATTTTCATTTTATCTTGCAGATATAGCCAAGTGGTTCTAAAAATGATTCAAAAGTATTTTACTGTGTATTCTCAAGAAGACATAACTGTAGGGATTGTAACGATCTGAGTTAGGTGAGGTTAGGGACACAGTGTAGAACTAAGCTAAGCTCTGGCATACCTTCAGGGCTCTGCCATCCTCGTGGGAACATGTCTGCATTTCCCTTTGTTGAGCATAGCAATCTTCTGTTTGATCAATTTCTTTCTGGTCTCCACCGTCTTCTATAGGGCTTATTTTCTGGGATGTTTCCACAATAATTGTTCCCAAATTTTGAGACATTTGTGTTTCAGAATCACTGCTGCAAATTAAAACAAAGGGTGGGGGTAATGAGGCTACAAATGCCAACAAGATATGCTTGCATATGCACTTCTCTGCATATGGTGGCCAAATGGCATAGATCATATATCATATACAAAGACAGAAGCCTAATATAGGTACGCATTGGTTCTCAACATTAAATCCTTTTAAACTTCTTTACAGACTTAAAGAATTTCATCAAGAACCTAGGTAACTGGCTCCATCCCTGCTAGCATTCCTGCAGCCTTCTGTGGAGAAGCACACGCTGCCTCACTGTCAGTTTCTAAAGGGCCAGGGCACAAAGAGTTTAATTATTTTTTTAACAGAAATAGTTTCCCACCAGGCATAAAATTTTTGTCTCTTTGGCTTCTACCATGGGTTATAGTTTCATTTATGATTGAAATAGTACATCCACTATGAACCAAAAAGTTTTGTAACATAAGGGTTAAAGTGGTAAGCATATAAAATAGAGGAAATAATCTGAATACGCTGCCTTCTTGTAACTTGTGTCATCCTAACGATTCAGAAAATGGAACCAAATAAGAATAAATAAGATCCACAGTACACTAGTAGTGATGTATCCAAGAGAAAAACAAATTAAGCCATGAAGAGATTAGACATTTTGAAGGTCATTTACTCGCCATCACAGACATGCAAATTAAAACTACATTAAGAGGCCCTCTCACTCCAGACAGAAGTCATTACAAAAATGAATAACAACAAGCTCTGGCAAGGATGTCAACAAAAGAGAACTCTCATGTAAGACTATGAGATTGAAAACTAGAAAAACCATTGCAGAAATCATTCAAAAAATAAAACTAGATCTCTCTTGTGATCCACCTCGACCATTCTTGGGTACTTACCCAAAGGATTTCAAGTCAATAGGCCAAAGAGATACTTGTACAATGTTACTGCAGCACTACTCACAGTAGCTAAGCTATGGAAGCAAACTGAGATTCCATCAACACAGGAATGGATGAAGATGATGTGTGTGATATAAATGACACAGTGGAATTTTTTTCCACCGGAAGAATGAGGTTACATTATTTGAAAGAAAACGTATGCAGCTGGAGATAATCACTGAGTGATAAAAGTCATTCTTAAAAGACAAATCTCAAGCTTTCCCTTATTCAGAAGTAAGGTTTTGTACAGGTATATGAAAGTCATCTGATATGATGGTAGATGTGGAGGTTTGAGTAAGAATGACGCACATAGGCTCATAGATTTGATGCCCAGTCAGCAGGGAGCAGAACTGTTTGAAAGGAGTAGAATACTAGGACAGGTTGCCCTGTTGGAGTAGGTGTGGCCTTGTTGGAGGAAGCCACCAAAGGAGGGCTTTGAGGTTTCAAAGCCCATGTCAGCCCCAGTCTCTCTCCGCCTGCTGCCTAATGATCAGAATGTAAAGCTGTCAGCTTCTTCTCCAGCACCATGCATGCCTGTATGTTGCCATACTCTCTGCTGTGATGATAGCCTCCGAAACTGTAAGCAACCCGATTAAACGCTTTCTTTTACATAGGCATCCTCGTGAATATTAACCTTCATCAGGCGATGAAAGGAGACAGAGACAGAGACCCACATGGGAGCACTGGACAGAAATCTCAAGGTCCAAATCAGGAGCAGAAGGAGACGGAGCACGAGCAAGGAACTCAGGACCACGAGGGGTGCTCCCACACACTGAGACAATGGGGATGTTCTATCGGGAACTCACCAAGGCCAGCTGGCCTAGGTCTGAAAAAACATGGGATAAATCCGGACTAGCTGAATATAGCGGACAATGAGGAATACTGAGAACTCAGGAACAATCGCAGTGGGTTTTTGATCCTACTGCACATACTGGCTTTGGGGGAGCCTAGGCAGTTTGAATGCTCACCTTACAAGACCTGGATAGAGGTGGGCAGTCCTTGGGCTTCCCACAGGTCAGGGAACCCTGATTGCTCTTTGAGCAGATGAGGGAGGGGGACTTGATCGGGGGAGGGGGAGGGAAATGGGAGGCGGTGGCGGGGAGGAGGCAGAAATCCTTAATAAATAAATAAATTAATTAATTAAAAAAAACGCTTTCTTTTATGAAAGTAATTCTGGCCATGGGGTCTCTTCACTGCAATGGAGCAGTGACTGAAACAGAAGGAGTGAAACTGTTTAGAAAAACAACAAGGAGTGAGGGGTGCAGGTGGAATATGCTGGCGGCATATCAGAGACTCGAACAAAGATATAACTCAGTACCATATAGAGCTACTAAAATTTTATTATTTTAAAAACAGACAAGTTTTAAGGTGGAAAGGGACATAAAACTTTTACATGACTATATCTGAACTATTGTCACATAGATACATACTCCTTGAGACATCTTTAGGGGAAAAACTCAAGGTTTATTCTAATTTTCATTATCAAAATGATTTTGAGGTGCTTTACTGCCTTGGTCACTCTAGCACATGCTCAAGCTTATGCTGATGTAACATAACGAGAATTCAAGTTCACGTCCTAGGAACTGTCCACTAAGGGTTATTTAGAAGAACTCTGGAAGGCTAAAATTATGAAAGTCTCTCTGACATGTCCATTCTAAAATACTTATACAGTATTTCTACATATACACTATTAAATATATTATTTTTTTCAACAGTAGCTAAACAACTAGCATTTTGTACTCAATTAACTTGCTCTCTAGACTTCTGTATGTTCCTCATCTGCTGAGATCTTTGGGACTCATGATTCTACATTGTAAAGTATTTTCTACCCTTATATTTATATCTGTTTTCAGATATTTGGGTGCTATTTTAATGATAATATTGATAAGCATGTTTTGTTAGGATTCAGACACACTGTTAGTGTGATAGTGCTCTAAAATAATGTAAGATGTGGATTGGGCAGCAGGTAAGGGGTAGAGCACTTAGTTATGGTTCAGTCCGTGTGAAGGTAGAGAAAAGGACAGGTTAGCTTGATAAGAATCACCTTTGAGAAACCCATGAAGACTTACAGAAATCAGGTGTGTGTGTGTGTGTGTGTGTGTGTGTGTGTGTGTGTGTAGGATATGTCTGAGTACATGCTTGTGTGTGCATACACATGAATGCATATGTGTGGATGCCTGTGGAGGTCTGAAGTTTGTATCCTGTATTTTCCTCAGCTGCTCTTAACCTTGTTAGATACAAGTTCTTTCATTGAGCCCAGAAATCAACAATTATATAAACTCTGTGGTCAGTGAGCTCTAGCATTTACATGTCTCTACATCAACACCCCCTGCCATGAAAGAGATATCTATGTGTCATAAAACATGCCTTTTCGTGGGTGCTAGGGATAAGGATCCATGTGAAAGGTTGTTTCCTGTCTGACTCAGTCATCTTTGCAGCCCCAGATCTTCATTTTAAAACATTTATGAATGGCTCTTTTATAATGTTCTGATACTTTATTTAGGTTTGATTTAAACAACTTCTTTCTGTTTTATTTTTAAATGTCAGAATAGCAACATACCAAATTTATAAATTCTTTCAATATTCTTAAATTCAGCATGTTTTAATAAAAACAGTAGATTCAATATACTTTTATATTCTGTCATTTTATTAACATGGATATTTCTATTTGTAATTTCGCCCTCCCTTACATATGTCGAAAACTTAGCAAGAATTCAACATGTAATGTCTAAAATGGGGAAAGTGGAGTGATTATTATATTTAGTCATATATTTAGTGATAGATTCAATTAAAAATATCTCTTTGAGGTAGAGTGGCTTTAGAGATGGCGCAGTGTTTTGTTTTTATTTTCCTTCTATTTTCTCATTTTCAAAAAAATAATCAGTGTATGCATTGTTTCATGCATGCAGGATACACTCACTGATGAGAAAGTTCCACAGTCATTAGGCTCTGAAAGTCTATTCTAGCCATCCTCTAGCCAGGAAAAAGCAGATACTAAACACAGTACATTTGGAAAGTTATGCAGTGCGCTATAAGGTAACGAAAGCCATTGGAAAACAAACTGTGCAGAGGAAGAGGAAGAAATCCGGAGTCCAAGATGTAAAATAAGGACAGGGTAATAATCTGGAACAGAATGACCTTAGGGAAGTCGTAGAGAAAAGGTAAAGTACATGGATGGCTAAGAAATTCATGCCACGCAGAAGGTAGGGTGCAGCTGAGACAGGTGTCCCTGACCGACAGGAAGAAATAACAGTTCACTGTGGCCAGACAGATGAGAACTCCCTGGTTAGGAAACTTAACAAACGATGAAATGCATGTCAGGGTTGTAACAAGAGAAGTGATGAGGATAGTCAAAGAGTGTTTTTAGAAGAACCCCATGATAATTTCCCAATTGAATGGAGGTTGGGAATGACTTACTCAAAGATGATTCCAAGGTTTTGTTCAGAATAAGTGAAAGAATTGTTGCTATTTAGGAAGGGATTCTGTGTGGGCAAGCTTGGAGGTATGATTTAGGAAATCAGACACAAAATATAATGTTAAGCTGACTTTTAACTTAGTTAATCTTAAATTCAGGAGAGAAGTCTTCCTCATTTATTTAAATTTTGGGGTGGCTGCAATGATATTAATAAAGTATTTAAGGATTGTATTAATAAATGCTATGAAATCAGAAAAAAATTTAAACTAAGAAAAAAGAGATCTCCAAGGATTTAAACTCCTAAAAACAAAGAAATGGGAGAAAAAAGGGAGAAGAAAAAAATAAATAGCACAGCCTTTAATGTCATCGATGGTGAGGTGGCTCTGTCAGTGACTGCCACATACAAAGCAGAGCAAGACGGAATGTAGACATCAACTCTATCAGAAGGTGTTGACAGATCAAACGAGGCAAGGATTGACAGTTGTCCTTTGCATTTGTTGATTATGGTCATATAGAAAAAACAAGATATTCTAGAAAATGATGAGGTATAAAATTTTGGAAATAAAAAATAAGAAAATGCTTTGACACAAGAGTAGTGACAGGCATTGCCAATCTTCTGATTTCCAGACATGGTCTAATTCCATCTCATTTAGGCTAATAGACGTGAATAATATGGTGTCTCTC